TTTGTTTATATTAATTTTCTGGAAACTCTTATTGAGTACGGTTATAGTATTTAGTTCAAAAATGCAAACCAGTTTGAAATGAGAATAAAAAAAAACAACCCTACATTTTGCTCTTAGATGCACTTCATAAATATTCGCAATAAATGTCCTGGGGTTTGATTCTTCATACCCACAAATCCATAAATTTAAAAAGTATTGCTATTCATATGACCAAGAGTTGACAGACTTCAGCATTAGATTATATGCTGCAGCTACTGTAGAAATGCCACACATGATAAGCACATGTGCTTAGAGAAAATTTTTTATTTTATTCTTTCATTTAGAGAGTTCAGTTTTTCTTATAAAATATTCTCACATCTGACTGAGTGCTATTTCTATCATTTTTTAACCAATTCTATTTTCTAATGGGTCCAATATGACACCTAATGCTGGTTAGTGATAAAGACTGCTCCAAGATGATCATAAAAAACAACCCAAGAACACCCTGTGAGTTTTGAAATTTATTCGAGTTGCATGTCTAAGTCTATAACCCCCAATTCCTTAGATTAAGAGTGGAGACAAAGAAATTTTTTTTAGCAAAGGGATTTCTTTTCCTTTTTCATATGAGCAAAGTCTTTTTTGTCTATGACTTTTGAGGATTAGTTCATTAGTTCAAACCAAAATTCATACCTTCATTTTATTCCCGACCACAGAAAGTACAGGGTATAACAGTATTCTTTTTCTTTTTTTGGCTTTTGAGTTACACTGTTGAAGCTCAGGACTTAAATCTGTATCTGCACTCAGGAATAGCACCTGATTATTCTTTGGGGACCCTATGGGATTCCAAGGATCAAATTGGGGCAGCCTCACTCAAGGCAAACGCCCTACCTGCTGTACTATCTTTCCAGTCCCAAAGTGTTCATTTTTAAGAATGAGAACCTCACACTTCAGCAAGGTTATTCTTTATTAGGGACTGGTGGAAAAAATACCATAAATTGCAATCTTATTTAACAAGTCCTTCTAAATGTGGATTAATTTGGAACATCATAGATAAACTAACTTGGATGATCCATTTGATATTATTTCTTGTTTTTTTTTTTCAAAAAATAGACTTGGAGTTGATAATAGATGACTCAGTTCTTTCTAAAATAAGCATACACACAAAGTATACATGTTTTCATTTGTCTTAACATCTTGGAACAACCAATTCTAAGTGTTGAACTTATGCACTTCATTTATATATTATTTTTTCTTTAATTTTTGTTTAGGTACTGTGATTTACAATACTACGAAGACTAGTGCTTCGTGCACTATATGTTCCACCATCATATCCACCACCAGTGTTGGTGCCAACCTCCTCCAATCAATAACACCTCCAAACCTCCCACCCCGCCCCCACTGCCCCAAGCATCTCTAACCCGGCCCTGCCATTTTTAATTTTTCAGAAAAAATGTTCCAATTTTATTTTTTTAAATTAATTTATTTTTTTTATTAGTGAGACATCCAGGAGTTTAGTTTATAGTTTGCTGCAGGTTGACTTTAGGTTGACCTTGCGACCACTCACTACTTTCGGACTAAACATCATGAGGTACAGTTGCAGACTTACAAATTTTTGTGCTTGGGTTTCAATTATACAATGATCAAATACCCATCCCTCCACCAGAGCCCATTTCCCACCACCACAGATCCCAGTATCCCTCCCACCCCCTATCCCCCCTATCCCACCCTGCCTCTGTGGCAGGGCATTCCCTTCCATTCTCTCTCTCTTAATGGGTTTTGTGGTTTGCAAAAGAGGCAATGGGTGACAATCATGTTTGGTCTATAGTCTACTTTCAGTATGCTTCTCCCATCCTGGGAGGATCCTCCCACCACCTTTATTTGGTGTTCCCTTCTCTATCTGAGCTCCCTTTTCCCTTAGCATGTGTGGTTCGGCCCTTCCATTTTTAACACTCTATTCTTTTAATCCTGGCTTCTTAAAAAGTTGTGGATGCCTCAATATGGACTAAGTTAAGTAAATGAGGGATTCACAAAAGTTATTTAAAAATGCTTAAAATAACTTGTGGTTATTTATCAGTAAATATTTGCTTTGTGTACGTATTTTAGATACCTGGGGTCATATTAAAAATTATCTGGTAAAAATTTCATGATAATGATAACCCAGTAGAGCATAGCAAATTTCTGAATAAAAACAGCAACACCAAAGGTTTAACCAGCATCAACCAGCTTTATAAATTCCCAAACAATGACTTCAGGAACAACACTGTGAAATATAACAATTAACAGAAATTGACTTTTGTCATTCTATTTTCTCATAATTCCATTTATCATTTTGTTGCAGTAATTAATGTGAAACAAATTTGTTTGGGTAGGCATAGAGTGGGGGAAGTGAGGAAATTAGTGGAGGGAACTCAACACTAGTGATGGGATTGGTGTTGGAACATGAAATGTGTGAAATAATTCTATTATTAACAACTTTGTTAATTACAATGTTTAAGTAAAAACCAAGAGAAAAAATTTCTTGTTAAAGGGGGCTAACAATGAAGACAATTTAAGAAATCCTCCTTCCAATGATGAAATTCATTTACACAAATTACTCTTCAACATGTAAGAAAATATGAGGCTGTATTTTAAAAATGATAATTAATATTGGGTTATTTAAAATAATTATCTAAATTCCAATAATTGTTTTAAACCATCTGCAGCATTATAAAGTATGTAAGTTTCAGAATAACTCACAAGATATAAAAATCTTAATATGGCATCTTAAATATAAGATTATAATTATATTATGGAATATACATTCTTAGCGCCAATAAAGTATTTTATTTCAATAATAAAAAGGGAATCTATTCAAGGAAGAATAGAACATTTATAAACATTTGGTGTTGAGTTATTGTGAATACATTAAAACAACTGTTTTAATGAGTTCCGGGTAATACCAACTATACAAACTTGTTGCTTATTCCATGTATTAAACATGACTAAATTAGTAGTGGTCAAAATAACAATTAATTAGACCATCACACTCAAAATATTTTGCATAGCTTGAGTTTACCATGTTATCATTTTTCCCGTAAGTAGAAGTTAAGTAAAAATAAATTAAAAAGGGGTTGGAGAGATAGTGCAGTGGTTATTATGCATACCTTGCATTCTGCAAACCCAATTTTAAGCTCTAGAACCCCATAAGGTTCCCCAAGCCCTTGAAGAGTGGTTTCTGAATGCAGAGATTCGAGTAACCCCTGTGCACCATCTTGTGTGTGGCATCAAAACAAAACAAAACAAAAATGAATAAATTAATTATAAGGCTCCTACACAGTGAAATAATCCACTCATCATTAATATAAAAAAAGACATCCTATGTAATGGGATATTTTCAAACCGTTCATCTATAAAAGGACTGATATCCATGATATATAAAAAGGTAAAAGGCCCTCCCGTTGATCATCGATTTGCTCGAGCGGGCCCAGTAATGTCTCCATTGGAGACTTTGTTGTTACTGTGTTTGGCATATCGAATACGTCACGGGAAGCTTGCCAGGCTCTGCTGTGCGGGCGAGATATTCTCAGTAGCTTGCCGGGCTCTCCGAGCGGGGCGGAGGGATCAAACTCGGGTTGGTCATGTTGGCTGCATGCAAGGCAAATGCCCTACCGTTGTGGCTATCACTCCAGACCCACATGTATATAAGTAATGCAAAAAAATTCAGCAAGAAAATCAAGAAAACATTTTTAAATAGAAATGAGGTATTATTTTCTTTTAGAAGTTCTAAAAACTTCAACCACTTCAATACATATATTTCTTTAGGTCAGAATAATGACTACCTAAGACTACCTAATGCTTATTATGTTGAAGAACTGTTGTAGGTAGTCCTGGCATATGTTCAACTGCTTTTCATTTGTGTAGTAATTGTTTTATTACCATTATCTTAAGAAGAACACCGACATCTAAAAAATAACCCTAGCACAGTTCAACTATAGGCTACATCTCTGTACTATAAAGGAATGAAAGCACTTTCCATTATTTCTCTTCCTTTCCTTTTCTTTCCTTGACTTTCAGATCTTCCAATGAGTCACAAACCTATAGCCGACCTATAATTTTATTCAATTTTTGGAAGTTTCTCTTAGCTTTTAACTGGAGTGATAGTGGGTAAGGGGTGTGGCCAGGCAAGCTACTGAGAGTATCCCGCCTGCATGGCAGAGCCTGGCAAGCTCCCCGCGGCATATTCAATATGCCATAAGCAATAACAACAAGTCTCACAGTTGGAGACGTTACTGGTGCCCTTTCAAGCAAATTAATGAAACAATGGGAGGAAAGTGCTACAGACAATGCTTCTGTTAAAGTGACATTTATTGTGCAATAAAAATTATAATTGTGATTCTTTATTATCTATCAATTTTGTCTGGATATTAATAATTTGATTTTTTGCTATCACACACAGCACAACTTCATTGTTCTCTACTCACCTACTTTCTTTTTCATTACTTCTGTAATCTTAACATTATTGATATTTTTCACATTATATAAATATATGTTATGACTTTATATTTTGCTGCATGTCTATTGTCCTGTATTCTCCAATTCCTTTTGACAGAACCATATCCAGCGTCTACAAACAGATATGCAGTAGGCAGAGTTTAATATGGAAAATTGAATTCATTACCAAAGTAGACAATATAATATCCAGTGTATTCTGTCTGCTATAATTGTGTCTTAAATATGGCCATTTATGCTAAGAACTAGACAAATTAAAATATAAAAGGACATAGACATATTAAAGCATTTTGCTGACATTTCAGTGATTGATTTAAACAATACCTGTGATGGAAGAAGAGAGTGCTTATACAAGATGATTATACAGAACTCTAGCAATCGAATATCATAAAGAGATAAAGACTTAGTGGCAGATAAAATCTCCAGGAATACAACATGAAGTCTAGAAGTTCATGTTGCTGTTGTCAAATTTTGACACAAAGCTTCTCTACTGAGTTCTGATCTTTCTTGCCTTGTTGTTTTTGTCGTTACAGACCATCAAATCTTCTTCTGGACCAAAGCAATATTGACATCACTTCCTTCCACACAACAGGTGACTGGCTTAACGGTGTCCGAACAGCACAGTGCAAGGACATCTTCACAGGTGTGGAATACAGCTCTTGTGACACCATCGCCAAGATTTCCACGGAGTAAGGAATTTGTTTTTAAACACTGCTGACTGATTTCTAACTGTCTAGGAAGCATACATGTTTTGGACTAATGCATTATCGGTAATAGTTGAATCTATAGCTAAACAATGTATGTTCCCTGTAGCCACTGAACGAGGTCCTTAGTCTATTTGTGATTGAACCTATTGTGATTGAAGTGTGTCAACAATTTAGCCCTCAGGATAGGTTTGAAAGATAAGTGTCTTCATTGAACTTCATTGCCTTTCTCAAATAGGCGAATGGATATAGAATTGTGTACAACTTCACAGATTCAAGTCAATAACTTAAAACATAAGTAGATAAAGCACGATACTTATTAAGTCCTTGCATTTGTGATTTTGTTAATTTCTAGAAAAATATAATCTCTGTGAAAATGGATGATTGGTAACTAATTTTGTATAAAAGTGAGGGCATTAAAGTTTAAAAACCACTTGCACAGCCATAAAATGAAAATCTTAAGTCACCATCTATTATTGAGAGATGCTTTATGAAGAATGTTATGTTAGAAAATGAAGTGACAAGTAAGCTAAACATTATTTTCCTCAGAAGGCTTATAGTCACTTTGGAAAGACTAAATGAAAAATATGCGTTGACTAGTCCCATATGCATTGATTTATGGTTTCCTGCATTAAAAGCCAATAGAAATAAAGTATAATTTAAATATTTTTAGCCAGGGAATTTTGGCAATGATAGTCCTTTGGTATTAACAGTTCATAAGCTTAATTTATGATGTTTCATAAAGTATTAAGTAAATCCAGTGAATAATTCATTAATTTTTATCGTAATTCATAAGATAGAATAATTGGGAATTAGAAAGCTACTGAAAACCATAATATTGATCTCTATGTATGAGAGTCAATTAATTGTATTTCTAATATGACTGAGTCGCTTTTTTAGTTTTTATGCAGTGACATTTTCAGCATTCTATACATAATTAAAATGGTTTTCTCAGCTTTGATGATAGAATATTGTTATGTCTTACTCAAATAACTAAGGTCCAATGTTTTGTGTTTGTTCTAAGTCCCAAGTAGAGGAATTCTGATGGGCTTAGTCTTATTTGTAGTTGCTCTTTTACAAAAGCATATATTTGTCATGATCTAATATTTTCTGTGAAGAGGTGGAGTGAAATAGGATAAACTTGACCCTAGGTACATTTTTCCAAGGGTAATACAAATAACCATTTATCAAAGAGAACTTTTGTCCTGGTAGACACACCAAAAGTGTCAATAGTGCTTTATAACTTATGGTTCTGTTTTCATATTTGCTTCATATTCATGTTACCATTTTCTTCCTGATTATTGTTACCTTAAGAAAGGTCTTAAGGAAGAATGAGTTCCTATAAAAGTTCTATTTCTATAGAAGTATAACCTTTGTAAAAGTTCATATTTCTAGAAAAGTATAATCTTCATTAAATTTGGTTTCTTTCAGTATATTTTTTCTTTGTGTCATCCATAGTCAATGCATAACTGATTCTGTTGACCAAACAACTCAAATTCTTCTGGAATAGGATAGACACATGTAGAAAATGTTATCGAATTAATTTTACTCTTTACTTTTTTTTAATCATGCCTACTATGAAATAAAAGGGAAAAAAAGATAATAGAATTTATAATAAAATACTGAATACTGGGCTGGAATGATAGCACAGCAGGTAGAGCATTTGACCTGCACATGGCCGACCCAGGTATGAGTCCTCCGGCCCTCTCAGAGAGCCTGGCAAGCTACCAAGAGTATCCTGCCCGCATGGCAGAGCCTGGCAAGCTCCCCGTGGTGTATCCGATATGCCTAAAACAGTAACAACAAGTCTCACAATGGAGACATTACTGGTGCTTGCTCAGGCAAATCGATGAACAATGGGAAGACAGTGGTACAGTGCAGTGCATACTAAAATACTAATTTATTTCCTATAGTCTATGAACTTCATTTATATGCTAGCTACTTAAGCTATATAATAATTAATATAAGTACAGAAAATTGTGTGTTTTTATTCAGTAAACATATCTATAAAATTCTACTTCATAGTATTAGGCAAATGTGAGAGAAGAAGAGAGAGATAAAGTGTAAGCAAGGGTGGTAATAGAAATCGAATAGAGAATTAAATGTGTGGAAAGAATTATAGGCAGATTAGTTGTTACATATCATTATTTTGCACCTATGAAGGTCATTTTCAAGTGTCATCACCTTTTTGTCTTTTAATTACCAGAAACCATATTAACCTCTATTTTCAATCTTTGGTTGCCATTTAACTTCTTTTTTTTCCCCTCCTCATTCTGCATTGGATAGGCAAAATAATATTAGCATATCAATAGTGATTTTTGAGATTATGGCAGCTTTATATATAGAACTATATTAAACATGGCATAGTGATGAAAAAACACATATGGGCAGGAGTAATATATACATAAAAATCCATGCTAAATATAGCCGAAAGTTATTATTTTAATTATTTGCTGCAATATAATCATTTACATTAAAAACAAGAAACTTTGTCTATGTTTTGTGATGTTTGTGCTCTCAGGCACATGATTGTAAAACACTTTTACACGAAAATTTTCTTAAAGAAAAACATTCAGGTGTAAATAAGAGATTAGGAAGGTACCAAATAAAGAGAGAAATAAGTCTTTCCTGCTGTAGCAAAAGTACTAAGAAAAAGACTGACTCTTCAGAGATGTCAAACTCAATCTTTGAATGATCAATATCTGATTTTTTTCTAACTCCTAGCATCTGGATCCCTCACTTCTGGAGGGAAAATCAGGGCTAAAGCTAATAGTGTAATTAGGCTTAAAATCTCAAATAACTTACATAATTAATATATTGGCTTATAACATAATATTCACTGTTTTCAAAAATCATTTTTAAGTTTGTAAATGAAAAATAGAGCTGTTATATTGAACACTCCTGTCTTCTGCCTGGTCTTATAAGGAAAGCTTTGGCTTTTGCACCATTAAATATTATTTTATCTAATAGATTGTGTTAGAGTTTTCAACTGCATTGAGTAAAATATTTCTATACTTTTTTATTAAAAGTTTTCATCATTAATTTTAGTTAGATCTTGTAAAATTCTTTTTCTGCATCTAGTGATATGATCATACGGTCATATGGTTTTATATTGCTCTTGCACTGATATGGTGGTGTAACTTTGTAGATTGAGGTGCATATAGCACTGTAGCACTGTTCTACCCCGTTCATCAATTTGCTCAAGAGATCCCAGTAACATCTCCATTGTGAGACTTATTGTTATTGAGTTTGGCATATGGAATACATCACGGGTAGCTTGCCAGGCTTTGCCATGTGGGCGAGATACTCTCAGAAGCTTGCTGGGCTCCCCTAGAGGGGAGGAGGAATCAAACCCGGGTCACCCGGGTTAACCATGTGCAAGGCAAATGCCCTACCCACTGTGCCATCATTCCAGCCCGAGGTGCATATAAACACATTATTGCATCACTGGGAAAAATTTTACTGGTCATGGTGCATGATCCTTTTGATACACTGTTGGATTCAGTTTCTTAATATTTTGTTAGGGATCTTTTACATCATTATTTACCAGGGATATAGAAACATCATTGAAGATTTTATTGGTGTTTCAGTAGGCTTTGGTAATAGTGTAATATTGGCATTATCAAAATTGCTTGAGAGAATTCCTATTTCTTTGAATTTCTGGAAGAACCTAAAAAGGATTAAGAGGAGCTATTCTTCAAAGTTTGGAAGAACTTACTAGTATAGTCACTTGGGCCTGGGTTTTTTTTTAAGAAACCTTTTGTCATTTGTGTCGGGGAGACCTTTGTTTACGATTTTAAGTTCTTCGAGAATTATTGTTATTTAGGTGTCCTGTTTCATAATCTGACATTTATATTACTTCAAAAAATGTATCCATTTCTACTTGGTTCTCCAATTTTAAAGCATAAATATTTTCATAGTAATCCCTGGCTATCCTTTGAATTTCTTTGTTATCTTTTGTAAAGTCTCCCCTTTCATTTCTGATTTTGTTTAGTAGAATAATGAGTTTAGTTAATATTTTTTTTCAATCTTCTATATTCTTTCAATGATCTGATTTTGGCTTCAATTGAGTTTATTTTCAGTTTCTATTTTGTTGATTTCTACTACAAGTCTTATTATTTCTTCTGTTTGGTTTGCATTCCATTTTCAAATAAATTTGTCTAATTGCTTAAACTATGCTTTTATTTTTTGTTATTTTTATTCTTTCTTGCTTTGTAATTACTGATTGTATTTCTATAAATTTTTTTCAAACATTGCTTTTGTTGTGTCCTCTACAGTCTGGTATTCCATGTCTCCATTCTCATTTGTTTTCAGGAATATACTGATTTCTACTCTGATTTGCTCTGACTCATTGGTTGTTCGATAAAATGTTGTTTAAATTCTAAGTCTTCCTTTAGGTCGATTAACAATTGTTTACATTATTTTGAAGGATTATCATTGTATATATTGTATATATGTGTAGGAGTGGGAGTTCCTTTATAATGCATTAGTTACTTAATAATTAAGAAATTACTATCCCTGCCCCAAACAGCATTTTATATTTTTATAGGGAAAATTATTTTGTACATGGAAACAAGAAATATAAGTTCAAAACATACAAATAAGGGTAAACTCTATCAGCCATCTCTTTAAAAAAGTTCATAGGAACATCCAGTCAAAATCAATAGTATTTTCCCTTGAAGTGTTATCTATAACTTAAAGCCTTTTAAAATTTGATAATATCTTGTTTGATGTAAGTACTGCCACCCTAGCATTTCCAAAGGAAATGTTTGTAAAATTTTTTTCAGGTCCAATACTTTGAGCCTATATTTACCACTCAGATAGGCAACAGGAAGTTGAGCTCAGTTTTCTAATCTATCCTGCCACTCTGTATCTCTTGATTGGTGACTGAAGGCTATTAACTTTGAATGAGATTAATGCTATTAAGAACATAAGTACCATTATTTTCTAGCTGTCATGATACTTGTGAAGTTAGTCTTGTCCTT